ATTCCTATGTGGCCAATTCCTCAAAAATCCCTACATTGCAAATGCTGTCTGGATACCAGGCCAGCCATATGTGAAAAGATCTTTTTCATTCTGGTATCCACATTTTTAAAAAATCATTTCTGCCTCTATAAAGTTTTTCTAGCAGAACAAAACTTGTTTATTGTTTTACCAAGTGACACATTTTTAAAATGACAAGTTTTTAATAGTTATTTTTGTGAAAATAAGGCCTCAAAGTAATAAAACCATTTGATTGCTTTCATAGTATAACAGACGTTGGGTTATTTCACAAGAATGAAGTCAATAGTGATTTATCTTTACATGTTTTGGTCTAAAGTTAATTGCAGACTAACCAGTATTTAAATAACTTTTTTGAACATCTTAAGTGCAAATAGAAAATGAATATAATTCTTTTTTTTTCAGTTGGGGTAAAACATGAACTAAGTGATCCTCCACAGCATTAGTTCATGCAAAAAGACCCAAGACAGAGGAAGCAGTGGTTTACAATATTTAAACACTGATAAAAGGAAAAGAATATCATGTGCAAAGACCTTAATATTACATTTAAGATAACTCTTGGAACTGTTCAAATGTTACAACCAGACACAGATCAAAGAATTGCAGCTTTCTGGAAAGTTATCATTTTAAGTTGCAAGGATTTTCCATCATAATGTTCAAACATTTTAAGATCTTATCTGGTTTAACCTTATAGAGCACAGAGTGTTTTCCAGCTTGGTGGTGCACAGAGAAGTGCAACATAATCATGACTGGAGGAGCTGTTGAAGGACAAAAATATGCGAAGGACAGATGCATAATCATATTGAGGTGTTTACTGAGAGCATAAATAATCGTTCAGCTACTCAGGAAAACATTAAAGGTACAGGAACACGTTGGCACAGAAGTCGTGCTGCCATCCAGAACAGGCAGGCTGGAATAAGGGTCTGGCATGGAAAGTAAAACTACTTGACATGCTTATAACTGCTGGACAAGTGGCAGAGGACTCAGGTGTGCTGACTGACGGAATATATTTGCAGTTGTGTGGAGAACAACACTGGTGGAACTGAGGGGAAATGTACCTGAATTGCTAGAGGAAAAAAATGTAAAATAGAAAGCAATCAAAGTGAGCTAAAGAGAAAACATTAAATGTCACAGACCAGATACATGTTTTGCTACACGAAGCCAGCAACCTGACTGACAGCACAGTCCACACTTTTACCTTACTGGCACAAAACAAAGAAAACTAAAATGATCACAAAAGCATAGGTAATCAAGGCCTTAAATAACCTTAAAGCCCTCCGTCTGTTAACTGTCAGATCAACAGTGCAACCTTTATGACATGAACTCTGCAGAATATCCACAGATTTCTTCATCTGGCCCAAAATGTCATTGTCAATTAGGACATCAATATTCCAGCCAGAGGTTGGCACCAATACAGCACATACAAAAAACCAAGAGCTTGAGCAGAGAAAGAAAAACACTTGTTTTAAAAAATAAGCTGAGGAGAGATCTGCCTTTCATCATGTTTTTGAAAAAAAATATGTCAGACAAAAATTGGATTTATGTACTGGCAAGTAAACACTTACTGTAGAGCTCAGTTTTTCTTCCTCCAGTTCTTGATATAAAAAACACTACAACAGACTATGAGGCCTGCAGTGATGAAAGAAAAAATTGAGGTAGAGTTTTTTTTCTCTCTTCCTCCCCAAGCCAGTAAATTTAAAATGTCTAACGTAAAGTCGACAAATAATATTGAGAATAAAGTTTAACTAACTTTATAAAGCTCAATTTTAGGAGACTTAGGCTTAAAAATCTCGCCAAACAGCCTGTGGTCGAGATGTCTGTTATTCACGGCCACTGACGTTAGTACTAACTTTATTCTTGTAATCTTCAAGTCTTCAACTTTTTTTTTTCAGCTTGACTTTATTCTTAATACTATATTTCAATTTTATCTTCAACATTTCGACTTTTTTCCTCGCTTTGGCCACAATACTCTTGTAAAAAACACATTGAAGAGGTTATATTGAAAACTTTAATCAAAGATTAAAACCATCGGCTCAACTGACCTACATACAGTATAGTTGCAACATTTTCTTATGCTACAGCAAGGATCCAGTCCAGTCTTTAAAAGCTCCTCCTCTGCAACCTTTAGGTATATCCTAGCCCCAACACAATGAATCAAATGAGTGACTATAGTCTCTTTACCATTGAAATTAACGGGTTAAGGAGGGTTTTTCAAACACGGGTTGACCCGCTATCAATCGGCATGTGGTTCCCTTCCCATTGGCCACAAAAAATAGATCTGATCCCGTGCTGGCATGCTTTTTCTTTTGTCCCCAACATCAGCAAGTATGGGGATGTAATGACGCCTGGTTAGCATTGATGATGTCATGAGTGCGACAGACATCAGCAAAGGAAACAATTGAGAGCAACATGTAAGGAAGCCCGGGCACAGTATTGGTACTTTATTGAATCCCGCTTAACAGTGCAGCGCCATGTTTTATCCAATGTAAGCAAAGTCAGCTTATTAGATCACACGCGACTGGTGCGATGTTGTGATGTACGTTTGTTGTGCTGAATCATATCAGGTAAATTATCGCGTCAGCCTGGGTCTAATGTTCCCAATCAGAGCTGAGATGTGTGAAGGCAATTTTAAGCAGGGTCTCTGCCAAGTCATTTGACGCAGCTGGTCGAAGGTCAGGGCGCCGTTCCCGTTTTCCCTAGAAGGTAATTGTTTGCGGGTTTAAACATGTTTTTGTGGTCAGTGAGAAAGGGATATAACTCTGGTAAGGCCTAATGAGCCCTTTATTTGATTCAGATTTTCTGTTTTTGTCACTAAGGGCTTTATTTTTCTTGCTTCAGTAGAATACTGTCTTTACAACAGGGGTGAAAGAATGCCAGCACACACTTCGCTCAGATAACCAGCAGTAAACAGACTGAATGAAGAAGGAAGAAAGGTATTTTCATTCTCTCACAAACACAAATGCATACAACACAGCAGTCAAAACAACCTTCTGTTGAAACAACTGTGTTATTTTACATTAATTTAATCCTAGACAATATGAGAATAAAATTCACAACTTAGAGTGCCCAACATAAATATTGTATTGTATAAACATTGTAGAGGCATTTACACTATGGTGTTTATTCACTGAGTTTTTTTGCCTCTGTTGAATTTGCAGTGCAGAAAAAGGAATATCATCCATTGTCACTGGCTGCATTATTATAAGTCCTCCATTGTTTATGCAAAATCCCAGCAGATTAAAAGTCTCTTGTGCTACAAATTTTTTTTTGCATGGTCTTTCCACCAGAGTTTCAATTTCCCAATTTAAAACCACCCTCTTTTGGTGTCATTAATTCAGTGTTGAGTCCCTCATTGCATGCTTAAAATATAGCTATTATCCAGCCATGTTTAAATAAATCCACCCATTACGATGTATAGTAGCATTGATAAATAAGACATACATAATAACTTTTACTTATGTTGTAACTCATTTTTGTTCTACCTGCCCTTTTAGTTTTTTTGTATTTGTTTTTTTTTTTTTTGTATGTGGCTGAATGTTTACTTGGTGTACCCAATGAGGCGCAACAATTTAATCCATACACAGACCTTTCAGTTAACAGTATGCTATAATTTATGTATCTCCAGAGGTTTGGTAAGATTTCCCATCTACATGTCAATGTTCTGAGTGAAACTGTCTCACAATGGTGTGATGCGTGTCATGTGGCTGGAGACAACACAATGTGTGACCAAAACTGTTCTATTCCCGATATTTGTATTGTCACGAGTGGTCAGAATCAGAATAAAATGTATTGCAAAGTAGGTTTACGTTTAAAAGGAATTTTACTGGTGTTGATGGTGCAGAGATATATATATATATTGTAAGGCAATTTAGGCTGTTATGATCATAAAAGACTGTTGTTCTGTTTCGTTTTGATTTCTCCGAGCCTAGTGTTAAGTCAGTAAATGCAACACGGTCGTCTAGTTACCTTATCATCGCGAGAGCTTTCGTTGTTATGATTCTGGTTGTAAGGCACTCAATGCTCACTGTACGGACACTGCTAAAACGCTGTCTGTGCCAGAGCTAGAGGCCAAAACAGCAGTGTATAAACCATCAGCTGTGTCTGTAACTCACCTGTTGCCGGAGGAAGTAAAGTTCAGTTCAAGAAGATTCCTTGTCGTGTGCTTCATCAGAACATCCACGCCACCGGAAGGTAAAGCACGGCAACTGGTGTCAGAAGTGGGATCTTCTTAAAACTTCTGTGTTAATCCAAAAAGAAAAGAAAAAAACGGCATCCTGAACTAATAAGTCAAGTTACGCTACAGAAAGAAAGAAGAAAAAAAAATAAAGAAAAAAAAACCGTTGTGAAGTTGCTGAAGCGCAGCCGCGGACAACTTCCGGTGCGGTCCTTCAAAATAAGAGCGTAACCTGAAGTACACGGAAAAACGTTAAAAAATTAACTAAAAAATGACAGAAGAATTACAAGGCGCTACATCAGCCCCTGGGGAGGCAGAAACAGCCCCTAAATGGTTACAAGCTGTCTTGGAAAATCAAAATCAACAAACAAGAAACCTTCAAATGATGCTGGCCCCTGTTCTTTCACACATTACAGGACAATCAGCTGCACAACAACCCACACCATCACCTATTCCTGCTCATGGGGGGGTGAATATAATCCCAATGCAGACAAGAGAAAGGCATGCACCTGAGCCAAGTGTCTCTTTTGATATGACTACTAGACCAAGGGATAATGCGTCTTTTGCAGCTGAACTGGAGGTCATAAATCAAAGATCTCGAAGCACAGGGCCGTCAAGGCGGACTATAGCTTCTGAACCTGACACTAGACACAGGGAGATAAGAGACTCTGAGGTTGAAGCCCAAAACATACCTGTTTACCATGATGATAGGAGGCAAAATATTTCTACAGCCCATTACCATACATTGCCAGAACCCCAGAGACCTAAACTAGCTACTTTTGATGGAAATGAGGATTGGGATTCATTTTTGATGCCGTTTGAACGTCAAGCCAGGAAGTATGGATGGAGTGCTGTAGAGCGAGTGGACAGACTACATGAGTGTTTAAGAGGAGCTGCAGTGCGGTACGTCTGCTCATTACCAGAACGCATAAGGGAAGATTATGTTCTGCTGGTGGAGCAACTCGCTCAACGTTTTGGGAAAAAAGACCCCCCAACCACCATAAGGAGGAAACTTGGAGAACTCAGACAAGGACGGGAAACATCAGCTGAGTTTGCAGAGGAGGTGAGACGCCTGGTCACACTTGCTTATTCAGGAGTAGACCTCCAATTACAGGATCAGTTAGCAACTGATGCTTTCCTCAAAGGCTTACGAAATCAAAAGGTGGCCTATGAAGTTATGAATCGTGATCCAAGTTCCCTTGTTGAGGCCCAAAAGTTGGTGGAGGCCCATGAGCATAACTTCAAAGCTACCGTAGGCTGCGACACTGAGATAAAAAACAGAGCAAGACGCATCTCGTGGGTTGACGAAGAAGACAAGTGTGAAGACACAGCTACAGTGTCACGCAGGGTCCAGACTCCCCAGTATGTTACATCTGACCAATTTGCTGCATTAGTGGAACAAGTTAAGACTCTTGTTAACACGGTTGGAAATCTGAAGCTGCAGGTTGAAAGTCTCCAGCCTGGCAACACAAGAGCCCAAAAGCCAAAAGCAGCCCAGAGCTTTGTACCAGAAAGAAAGCAAAGTTACCAACAGGTGCAAAACAACAGAGGGCGCTCACAAACACCAAGCCCAAATCGTGGAGCAGCCGGTCCATGTTTTAAATGTGGAGAGACAGGACATTTCAGAAAGGACTGTGGTAGGCCACCCAGCCCTGAGGCATGTAATTATAATGAAATGCCTACAGACCACATGCTGCAGTCAGATGGAGCCCCTATCACAAATCCACAATTACAAGAACGGCAGATTGGCTGCACCAAGAAGAGAGGTGAGAGTTTACAAGTTCCTCTGATCATAAATGGCATTTCAACACAAGCAGTGGCAGACACAGGAGCTCAAACAACTGTGATATCGGAATAAGGTGGTGTGTAGATTACCACAGTCTAAATAGTTTGACTGTCAAGGATGCTTATCCGCTACCCCAGATTGAGGAATGTCTTGATGTTGTTGGGGGAGCTACCATGTTCTCCACACTTGACCTCCAGTCTGGTTACTGGCAGGTTGCAGTAGACAAAAACGATCGTGAAAAGACAGCCTTCATCACAAAATGGGGCCTTTATGAATACACCCGAATGCCATTTGGACTCTGTAATGCTCCGAGTACTTTTCAAAGGGCAATGGAGTTTGTCCTTAGAGGCCTTCAATGGGAAACCCTCCTTATTTACCTGGATGATGTCATTGTTGTTGGAAACGGAGTGGACCAAAGCTTAGATCGTCTCGAGCAGGTTTTTCAAAGGTTTCAGAGCCATGGGCTTAAGCTAAAGCCATCAAAATGTCACCTGGTTCAAGAAGAAGTCCTGTTTCTCGGCCATATTGTGAGTGGAGAAGGAATCAGACCGAATCCAGCTCCTGTCAAAGATGTACAGGTGTGGAAATCCCCTGAAAATCTGCAAGAGTTACAGGCGTTCCTGGGGCTATGCAACTACTATCGCAAATTTGTCCCAAATTTTGCAGAACTGACAAACCCCCTTCATCATCTTCTGAAAAAGGAGAGTGAGTTTGTATGGACAGAGGTACATCAGGCTGCTTTTACTAAGCTCAAGGAGAGACTGACCACTGCACCTGTGCTGGGATATCCCCATCCTGATGGCAAGTTCATTCTCGATACTGATGCCTCCAACAACAGTGTCGGTGCTGTCCTGTCACAGGTCCAGTGGGGAGAAGAGAGAGTTTTGGCCTATGCCAGCTGTCAGCTTACGCCAGCTCAACAAAGGTACTGTGTCACACGTCGTGAATTACTCGCTGTTGTGCGTTTCACACGTCAGTTCCGCCACTATCTTCTAGGAAGAAAGTTCCTACTTCGGACCGACCATGGCAGTCTCACCTGGCTCTTTCGGTTCAAGTGCCCTGAAGGACAGCTAGCTCGCTGGCTTGAAGAATTGAGCCAGTATGACTTCCACATTGAGCATCGAGCTGGTAAGCAGCACGCTACTGCAGATACCATGTCAAGGCTGCCAAAAGAAAATATGGAAAAATGTGACTGTTACCAAGCAGGGGTGAATCTGGCAGATCTGCCATGCAGAGGGTGCAAGTACTGCCAGAGAATTCATGAGCGGTGGGAAAATTTTGAAGAAGACATGGATGATGTTGAGCCACTAGCTGTGCGTTGCATAGAGCCTCAAAGCTTTATAAATTGCAATGGTACTCAGTCAGTGGAGGGTCAGCCATCTGCACCCTTCTCAGAGAGCCCAGAGATCAACTGGCTAGAATCGCTTAGCCCTGAGCAACTTGCTACACTCCAGAAAGCAGATCCTGTCCTCGCCATCCTTTATACATGGAAGGAAACAGGGACGCTCCCCAGCAGAGATGAGGTGATGCTTGAAAGTCCTGCAGTGAGAAAATTCTGGCTTTGTTGGCCCCAAGTTACACTGAGAAAAGGAGTCCTCTATTACTCCTGGGAGAAAATTGGGAACCAGTGCCCAACTTTGCTGCTATTAGTTCCAACAACTATGCAGAAAGAAGTCATACAGTCATGCCATAACCCTCCATACTCTGGTCACTTGGGTGAAGCCAAAACTCTGGAGCGCGTGCGCCAGAGTTATCATTGGTATGGCATGGGTGGAGATGTTCACCTTTTTGTTAAAATGTGCCCACACTGCAGTGCATGCAAATCTATGGGACCGAAGAAAAGAGCAAAACTGCAGAGTTACCAGGTTGAAGCACCACTGGCTCGTTTGCACCTTGATAATCTTGGACCATTTCCTGTGTCAAACTCTGGCAACAAGTATATTCTTGTCATTATTGACCAGTTCACAAGATGGGTTGAAGCCTTTCCTATTCCTGACCAAGGTGCGGAAACGACTGCAAAGAAACTTGTCTATGACTTCATTGCCAGGTTTGGGGCCCCCCTAGAACTACACACAGATCAAGGGCGTAATTTTGAAAGTTCGCTATTTCGAAATGTGTGTAAGCTCCTGCAAATAACCAAGACCAGAACTACACCTTGCCATCCGTCCTCTAATGGGCAGGTTGAACGGTTCAATAGGACCTTGCTGCAGATGCTTCGATGTTATGTGGACGAAAACCAGAGGAACTGGGATGAACAGTTGCCCCTGCTGACTGCGGCCTGCCGTAGTTCATGACACATGGTAACAGGATTCACACCGAACAGACTCATGCTTGGAAGGGAGGTCCACCAGCCACACGATATCCAGTGTGGTACTGCAAGACTCAAATCAAATGCAATGGAAGTTGTAGATTATATCTATCATCTTGAAGAAAGCTTAAAGGAAACACAAAGCCTGGCAAGAAGTCATCTTCGCACTGCACAAGAACGACAGAAAAAGGTGTATGACCTTCGAGCAAACGAGCACACCTACAGTATCGGAGATCTAGTGTTCGTCAAAGACGACACAAAAAAGAAGGGACTTAGCCCAAAGCTTCAAGCGTAATGGAGGGGTCCCCTGATTGTGGCAGCACACTGTGGTCCTGTACTGTATGAGATCCAAGGTCCCAAGCACAGGACAATAATGCATCGTGAGAGTCTCAAGCCCTATGACAGCGAGGTGATACCAGTTTGGGTTTCACGTCAAAGGAGTAAAATACTGCAACAGTGCCAGGATCAAGACCATCTAAATGCGGAGGATGTTCCTTTGGCGCCAGTGCTACCACTGCCAGGCGATCCGGACAAGGCATCGCAGGATGAAGGTTCAGGTCAGACTGTTCAACCCAAGGGACCAGCGTACCACCAGGGAGGCAGACGAGGTGATGAAGAATCTTCGGAAAAGACTTTTAAAACATTGAGTGGTCGCATAGTCAATCGACCAGAGAGATTCAGACACTAGTAGAAGTTATACTGAGCTAAATGTTATGGTTAAAACTTAAATGTTAAAACTAAAAGTAACCAGGGGATTGGTTAGTTTTATCGCCCCAACGTATTTGTTTTTTTCGTAATTTTGGACTCATTTCTGTTTACCAGAGTTGTTTCTTTACCTTAAAGATACTGCAGGGACTCAGTAGTCTTGAAAAGGGGGGGTAGTGTAAGGCAATTTAGGCTGTTATGATCATAAAAGACTGTTATTCTGTTTCGTTTTGATTTCTCCGAGCCTAGTGTTAAGTCAGTAAATGCAACAAGGTCGTCTAGTTAACCTTATCATCGCGAGAGCTTTCATTGTTATGATTCTGGTTGTAAGGCACTCAATGCTCACTGTACGGACACTGCTAAAACGCTGTGCCAGAGCTAGAGGCCAAAACAACGCAGTGTATAAACCATCAGCTGTGTCTGTAACTCACCTGTTGCCGGAGAAAGTAAAGTTCAGTTCAAGAAGATTCCTTGTCGTGTGCTTCATCAGAACATCCACGCCACCGGAAGGTAAAGCACGACAATATATATATATATATATATATATATATATATATATATATATATATATATATATATATATATATATATATATATATATATACAGAATGTATAGCTATATACAATATACACACTAGAGTGTGATTCTAGGTGGTGTCTATAAAGATGTGAAATTCACCCAATAGTTAAATTTTGCTGTGTGAACAAGCCTATGTGAGAACATAACCCCTCCCCAAAAAGTGTGACCAAAGGTGTCCATGCCAGGAGACCAGAGGGACTAGGCTAAATGTGGGAATGAGCAGACTAGAGAAAGCGGCTACTAGCTCAGCCTAGCCTAGCCTTATTAAATACTGTAGAGTTAGCAGAGTGACGCTGGTAATTACGCCACAGGTCTTTAAATGTTTGAGATTATTTTCAATGCTCTTGGCACCAGAGTTCTAGAGCGACTTTGTGGACCCATAGCACTTTGAACCCCTTGCTCTAAGGTAGGGGTAGACAGCGTTGGTCCCAGAGTTCTAGTAGCGTTTGCATCCATTTCTTTTTTACAAAACAACTGCAACAAATGAGTGGTTAATGGCCAGGGCTCTGCTAAATTTACCCACATCCCAAGGAGGTAATTTGTCCTTTTTTTTCAGGTGTGTTGGAGCAGGGATGCATGCAAAAGTTGCAGGACAGTGGCACTCAAGAACAGATGTTGTCTGCTTTAAGGCATTGACTTAGCAATTTCCAAATCCAGTGCTACTCTGGAGGTAGAGTACAAGATAAATCAATACAGAGGCGTGTTTCTAAGTGAGTTGTACTGATAGCTGAATTGGTAGTTATTAGGGATGGGACGGTTTATGAAAACCGTCCGAACCGTTAGGTTCGCGTGTGTTGCGTTCTCATAGGCGACGCATGTACACTCCAGAGCAGAAGGTGGCGGTACTGCGACCAAAGCAAACCACCAGTAGTAAACAAGAAGAAGAAGAAGCAAAGCAGCGTAGTCGGGTGTAGCAGGGAAAAAAATCAGTTGTTGTGGAGAATTGTGCGGGTATGGCGAGTGGGAAAGAACAGGAGTTGGAAGACGCGCCAGCAGCACTTTATAGGTCTGCTGTATTGGACCGCTTTGCATTTAGAGTGACCTACGATGACGGCGGAAAGAAAGTTGTGGATAAAAGTGCAAGCATTGTGCAACACGTTTTGTTTAGGCTAACAGCAACATGACAAACATGTCATGCTAACCCCGAAATCCCACATACTCCATCAGCGCTCTGTTCCGCCCCGCTGCGCTCCAGACCGCCTGCACAAAGCAAAGCCTACAGCCTCCGCTGTGGCTCCCGTCCGCTCCGCTCTGAGTTCCTTGGAGATGGTAGAGAGCATGCGCGAGATGATTAAATTCAAAGCAGCAAAACATGTGGAAATGATCCAGGGTTTCCGCGGATCATTTAAAATAATTACAATCCATTATTTTGGCGGATTTTTTCATTAATTTCATAAATCTTTATGGGATTTCGGTGTAACAATCAACATATACCGAACCGAACCGAAAACCGTGACCACGAAACCGTGAATCGAACCGAACCATGGATTTTGTGAACTGTTCCACCCCTAGTAGTTATGATGATGAAAGCCTGTACCATCATGTACTGTGTAAGCCAATATGAAATTATCCACAATTTAACCACCTATGTTACATTCCCAATAAAGACAATAAACACGATTTGAGCAGCAAAGAGACATCTGCTGCTTCATTTCAGATGCTTATACACACTAAGGTCAGGCGTGCCTCAAGATCATTTTTTATGCTTCCAGAACTGCATCAAAGAAAGTGTGTACAGATGCATCTGATGCTTATGCTGCTTCTGTGTTCAGTAACAGAGTGGCTATGCTATATTTGCTGTGATAAGTGGATACAATATTTTTTCAATGAGAAAATGCACCTCAAAAAAATCTTCTGTGCAGTCAGTTCATCAAGATTAGGATCCCGTCTTAAAATATTATTTCGCTGTCAGAAGCAGTCAGACCCCCACATACCGGCGGCAGCGCTGTCACTAAGAATCCCCAGCAGCAGCTGCCTCAGGCCGGGTCACCTCTTGGGGGTTTTCCCCTACTGTTTGTGGCAGCTGGAGGTAGATGTTAGTGTTATCCTGGTATGTGTTACAAAGTGCAGGCAAGAGAATAATAAAAGATCACATGATTTGCTGGCAGGTTTAGGCGTTAATAAAAAGTTTCACGGGAGTGATCAAAGCACTCTGCATGAGCAACGCTATCTCCATGTCCCTGCCAGCTCCCAGATCAGCTTCTCTGATTGCTTGATATGGTGTGTCAAGCAGCAAAAGTAAAAAATTTTTTCGACTCTAGCATCTGCTGCTTATGAAGAGCATAGCGCGCTCGAGACGCACTGCAGGACCTTTTGATGCACCTTGATGTGCGTCAACCATAGACTTTCCATGTAAAACAGCTGTTACTGCTGCTGAAATATAGAAATAATATTCACAGTTACATTAAAATGGAAGCGATTTAACCTGGTTTATACAAATTTAAATGTAGAAAAAAAGCCAACTTTGGGGCGAGTTTCCCTTTAGAAATTAGCTCTATCAAGGTGAAGTTGAGTAAGCTCACTTTGACAGGGATATCTGTAAAAGAGCACAGTGGTTGATTACTTCTATGGAAGATGGACCAGCCATTCAACCAGTAATACTAGACGTTTATGTCACTCTATGAAAAGCAAAACAGCAAAAGGTTTTAATATAAGCTTGAAATCTGTTCCATTTTCTAACATAAGTCATTTAATTAGAATCAAATATCAATCAGTGTATTTCTTTGTATAAATTGTATTTATTGTTTTTTACCAACTGTAATAATCCAACATTTGATTTTACCACCATTTGTTTTAATTATTGCATAAACAAAAGCTGTTGGGTAAGTTATCCATCCATTTGTGTGTACCTGTTGAGCAGATAGTAACTGACATTTGTTTTTAAACAATGAGGATCCCGTCCTTTTTTTTTCAGTTTTTTTTTATATGTTATCTGTTAACTTTCACCCTCACTCCAAATTCATACAGTTCAACTTTTTTAGTTTAACTAAACTCTCTTTAAGTGTGTGGGCATGTACTTGAGCATTGTGGTCTTGTTTTACCTACAATATTTTGTAAAATATTCTACATGCGAAGACTTACAGGTACATATGGGGACATTCAACTGGTCCCTATATGGTAAAATTCTGTTCTTTGAGTTGGGGTTAGGTTTAGGACTAAGGTGTGAATTCAGTTTAGGTTAGGATTAGGTACATCTTGGTAATAGTTAGGGTAAGGGTAAGGGTCTGGTTTAGGCCATATAAAATGAATGCAAGTCAATGAAATGTGGAGGGTGTGTGTGTGTGTGTGTGTGTGTGTGTGTGTGTGTGTGTGTGTGTGTGTGTGCGTAGTGGTCTGTCTGGGTGCTGCTCAGATTCTCGACGACCCCAGCTGCCCTGATCTGCACTAAATTTGTAAGGGGAAAGATTGATGACTATTAGTGACAGTCCACTGATTCCATCTTTTCCATATTAAACTTCAGGCTTTTAGTAAAATTTGATTTGTGAGTAAAGAGAGACAGAAAATGTTATGGACACGTTTGTTTTTTTCTCATTAGTTTCAGATGTTACACAACCAAACTGTGACTTTTCTAAATCAAATAATTTAGCTTTTTAGTCAGAGCTCTTCACGATGTGTACTTGATTTATATTTGCCTTCATGTCTCATGGCTTTGCTCCTAATGTTAGATGTTATCAGAGTTTTTCCTACTTTCAGGGGATTAAATCTGAAAGGTAACATAAGTTTCTTATATTTATGCATTAGCTCTGTTTGAGCTCATTAGGTAATTGCCAAGAAATATAGAGCTGTGCTGAAAAAATTAAACCGTTTGAAAGAATCATTTACGGAAAACCTGACCATGATTTTTTTATTTTTATTTTTTCCAGTAAGGGTTTGAGGCCTTTATAGGAGTTAGGGCACACATTCTGACACAGCCAGAGCCCCTTCATCAGTCTCCTGGGTTGTCCATTAGGCCTCCTTCAGGTGGGGAGTGCCTAGAGCATCTCCAAAGGGATCCGCCCAGGGGGCATCCAGAAAAGATGGTCAGTCCACCTCAGCTGACTGCTGTCCATGTGGAGGAGAAGCAGTTAAAATCAGAACCAGTAGCAGCTGATGGAGTTTTCTCCAGGGGCGGCTATAAATTCAAAATAGGCATATACTAAAAACCAATCAAATGTATATTAAGTTATCAAACATTATATTTCTATGAATGCCACCAACAAAAAACATTAATAATATAATAATAATTTAATGTACAGGTCTACTTTTTGTACATATCTGCCCTTCTGAGGCTTTGTAAAGGCAAATCTATGTTTTGCTTGGTCCAATATTGTGTCAAAGACCTAAAAATTAAATAATGTACTGGTTTAATAATGGAGAAGCTAC